ATGGCACCTGAAGAAAATCATTCTCGGATTAAAATTGGTCATGGATCATAAAGGTCAGATGATTGCCAATGTTGTTCTAGAGTGCTTAGCAGACTGGGAAATTGACAAATTGTTTTGTATTATGGTAGACAATGCAACTGCTAATACCTCAACTATTAGGAGATTCCATAGGGTGTTTAGTCAGGTCTCACCTGATTCTTTGGTTTTAGATGGAAACTTTCTGCATATGAGTTGTTGTGCCTACATTATCAACTTGATAGCTAAAGAAGGTTTAGGTGATCTAGACGAAAATGTTATGGCCATCCAGAATGCAGTCCAGTACGTCCGTTCTTCTAGCAATAGGTTGAATGCATTTGAGCATAAGGTTACAGTGGAAATATGACACGGGGAAGTCTCCCTTTAGATGTTAAGACTAGGTGGAGCTCAACCTTTCTCATGTTGTCCAGAGCTTTGCAGTTTAAAGTGACTTTTTGATTTTGACAAAAAAAAGTGGCTTTTGATAGGATGGAAGTAGAGGATAGGCTAAACAATGACTACTTCTTAGAAGTATAAAATGGGGATAACAAGCAAGGACCACCTACTATTGTTGATTTGAATGTCGTGGAGAAGTTAAAGAGGTTTTTGATCATATTCTCCAATAGCACATTGGTTGTCTCTGCTTCCTCAAAAGTCAATTCTTACATATGCTATGGTGAGATAATCACAATTGAGAGGAATCTCACTGCATTGTATAACAACTTAGACCCGGATTTGAAGTTGAAGGCTGAAGATATGCTGCACAAGCATTTGAAGTATTGGGATGGTATCAAGAACGTGAATACGATGTTGATCATTGCATCAATCATTGATCTGAGGAAGAAGATGGTTTACTCAAACTTTTTCTTTGAGAAACTGTATGGGAAGGATAGTAACGAGTCCAAAGAAATGAGTGCATTTGTGCTTCATCTCCTTATAAGCATGTTCCAGGAGTATGCTAGCCAGCTTAAAGGTGCTAGTACTCAATCTTCTCAGACGAAGCAAAACACCACTTGTGAGTGTTCAAGAGACTCAAGAGAAGATGGATAGGTTGAAGTTGGTTGTTGAAGATTGTGGATATGAGAGGATGGATTTTGAGTACAAGGAACTAGTTGTTGAATCAGGAAATGAGGCAAATGATGAGCTGGAAATATACTTAAAGAAACCTGTTGAGAATCAGAAACTTATGATGGGATTTGAGTTCGACATATTAGGTTGGTGGAAGGTGCAAAGAATCAAGTTTCCGGTTCTGGCAGAGATGGCTAGGGATCTGCTTGCGATGTAGGTTTCATCAGTGGCTTTTGAAAGTGCTTTTAGCACAAGTGGTGGAATTTTATAACCTTATAGGAGCTGTCTAACCCACTACATGATAGAAGTTTTGATGTGTAGTGAGCAGTGGCTGAAAGCTGGTATTAAGTTCAGTGACAACGTCCAAACAAATGAGCATATTCTAGCTGAAGATGAAATGCTAGAAAAGCTTGAGAAATGTATGTTTTTATTTCTCTTTTCTTTTAACATTTTATTTGTTTGTTTTTGCACTTACTTATTGTTTTGTTTGTCATTTCAAAATTTGAGAGTGTGAGAATTGAAAACTGAAAATTGTTCTTGAGGTTTGAAGTCTTTATGTTTTTGTTTTTTTTTGGTGCTGGGTTTGGTTTTTTTTTCCGGCTATGGTTTCATTTGAGATGGGTTCTGCTTTGACAGTTGCCTTTAAGTTTTATTATACACAAGTTTGATTTACATTGAAGTTTAATAAAATTTATTTGGAATTTTTCTTTTCACTATTGCAAATTTGATTTGGTACTTCTCATTTCCTTATCCATGTTTTGAGATGCTATTTTATTAAGGTTTTGTTTTATTCAAATTCTTTGAAGTATGTTTCAGGTTGTGTTTGCACGAAAAATTGGTTACAAGGTAACGTTGAAACTTTGCTTTGGTTAGTTTTGCCGCGTCTATTTTGGATCATGTTAACAGTCTGCAAGTGTTTTACTTGTACTACAAGTCTTTCTAATAATCTTGAACTTTTGGGTAATATGAATACTACAGATATCCGAAATTCGATTTAGAATCGTACCCGGAAATTATATGGGCTCAACCGAGTTTAGGACGTGCTATCAAACTCGACTCGAACCCGAGAAAATTCGAACCGAGACCGATTCAAATTTTTATAATAACCGAATGAGGCTAATTTTTGGAAACCCGAAAAACATAAATCCAATTAGAACCGACCCGAACCCGAGTGGTCACCCGATTGCCACGCCTAATTCTGCCATCCGAGTTCATTTTTGTTAGGAGAGATTATTTATAGTGTTTAAGTTTCTAGTAAAAATATTTTTTTTTAATAAGAAAAAAGAAAAAAAAAATATGTATGAGTAAAAATTGAAAGCACACAATCTAAACTTAAACAAATTGACCGAACCTAATCGAATCAGAAATCTTGTTAACAAATTCATACATTAACCGAGTTGCAAACCCGTTCTCTAACTAGAGGGTAAAAGAATAATTCAAATAAATTTAGGAAGTGGAATACGAGGTGAGCCGAATTCGAAGCCTTTGGACCCGTTTTGTTTCTCTATTCTCTCCTTCTTCTTCTTCTTCCTCCCTTTTCCATTTCATTTTCGCTCGGCCTTCCTCCAGTTTTTTATTTGTTCTCTCGGTTTCAGGTAATGTTCACATTCTTCATTGTGCATTGCCAATACCCAATTGTACGTTTCTGTTTGGATCTCATATTTGCCTCATTCAATTCCACACTCAATTCCCTATGAACTGATCTTTGATCTATGCTTATCATCGTATTGTCACACAATATCTATTTGTTTAATCGCACAACTTACGTCTCATGTTTTTTTTTTCCATTTCTACCTATATTATCTGACTGAATTTTATAATATTTTTGAATTTAGTCAAGTGATTCTCAATTTAAGATTGTTCATTTCATTTAAATAATTATATTACATAGGCATAATCATTACAAGACTGATCTCGACTTGTCTTATTGTCGTTGGTTATAACTAAATAGCCCATATATCATTTTTGAAGAAATTCGAAATTACAAAACTCAAAATCAATTTTGTTTGTTTGAAGAAAGGTAACAAAATGGCTGACGGTGAAGACATTCAACCTCTTGTCTGCGACAATGGAACTGGAATGGTTAAGGTATGTTTTCATTGGTCCTATGATACAAAAACATCATTTTAGTTTCTGTCTGAGATCATGTCTCTGTTTCTGACTAAGGCTGGTTTTGCTGGTGATGATGCACCCCGAGCTGTGTTTCCAAGCATCGTGGGTCGTCCACGTCACACAGGAGTGATGGTTGGTATGGGACAAAAGGATGCTTACGTTGGCGATGAAGCTCAATCCAAACGTGGTATTTTAACTCTCAAGTACCCTATTGAGCACGGCATTGTCAACAACTGGGATGACATGGAGAAGATTTGGCATCATACTTTCTACAATGAGCTCCGTGTTGCACCTGAGGAGCATCCTATTTTACTCACTGAAGCTCCTCTTAACCCGAAAGCTAACCGTGAGAAGATGACTCAGATTATGTTTGAGACTTTCAATGCTCCGGCTATGTATGTGGCTATTCAGGCTGTGCTTTCCCTTTACGCTAGTGGTCGTACAACCGGTGAGTAAAGTCCTAATATGCTAAAAGCATTGTACTAACCCTGCGGTTTTTTCCGGTTAATTCGGTCAGGTATTTTTGGTTTTGGTTAGTTCGGTTTGGCCACAATCCCATGGAACCGAAAAGTTGGTTTGGTTTGGTTTACGGTTAACTTTTACCAAAAACAACGATTTTTTTTGTTTCGGTTAGATAGTGGTTTAATTTTTTTTTTTTTAAACTCAGATGTTTTTGGTTAATTTTTTTTTTGGTTAGTTCGGTTCAATTTGTTTGGTTTTGTTTAATTTTGGATAATTTGATTTTAAACCTATTTTCAAATGCTTTCCAAACTTAACCGAACTCAGAACCTGAACCAAACCAAAAATTCGATACGGTTCAGTTTGGCTGCTGCTGTTTAGTTCAATCTGCAGGGTTTACAAAGGTTTTGTTTGATTATGGTATACGTGTTGGCAGGTATCGTGCTTGACTCTGGAGATGGTGTGAGCCACACGGTTCCTATCTACGAGGGTTATGCACTTCCACATGCCATCCTACGTCTTGATCTCGCGGGTCGTGACCTCACGGACGCGTTTATGAAGATCCTAACCGAGCGTGGCTACTCTTTCACCACCACAGCAGAGCGTGAAATCGTCAGAGACATCAAGGAGAAGCTCTGCTACATTGCTCTTGACTACGAGCAGGAGCTAGAGACATCCAAAACTAGCTCATCTGTTGAGAAGAACTACGAGATGCCTGATGGACAAGTGATCACCATTGGTGCTGAACGCTTCCGTTGCCCTGAGGTTCTTTACCAACCTTCTATGATTGGTATGGAGAATCCAGGTATCCATGAAACAACCTATAACTCCATAATGAAGTGTGATGTGGACATCAGAAAGGACTTGTATGGTAACATTGTGCTTAGTGGTGGAACCACAATGTTCCCTGGGATTGCTGATAGGATGAGCAAAGAGATCACTGCTTTGGCTCCAAGCAGCATGAAGATCAAAGTTGTTGCTCCTCCTGAGAGGAAATACTCTGTTTGGATTGGAGGGTCCATCTTGGCCTCACTCAGTACTTTCCAGCAGGTACACAACTAAACCATTTAAGTTGATTCTTTATCAGCCTCTAAACTAGTCCATGATGTTTTGTCTTAATGTGTGCAGATGTGGATCGCAAAGGCAGAGTACGACGAGTCAGGTCCATCCATTGTTCACAGGAAGTGCTTCTAAGTTCCAAGTTCATCATTTTCTGAAAATAAGTTTTATGCTGCTCCTTTTTTTTTTGCTCTTTTATATTTGAAACTCTGGCCAAAGACATTTTCATGGATTTATTTTCTTATTCTTATTTAGTTTCAATTGTCTTTTTGAGTGAATAATAATAATATCTCTTTCTCTTTGATTATTACATAGCAATGTGTTTCACATTCTCTCTGTAAACAATAGAAAGTTTTGCTTCAGTGAGGCAATGCCTACATTGGAGACACTAAATGATTAAAGAAGAAAAGCCAACACATACAATTAAAGCTGAGTTAAGGAACACAAAAGTCTGTTTGATACATACACCAAATGATGAAAGAAAAACTCAAAAGAAAGAGCTTACATTACAAGACACAGCAAAAGAGGAGAAGACATCATAGTATGTGTTTTCATGGTTTGGTTCAAGGTTCAGGGCCGGTCTAATAGCCTCTGCCTGCAACCCATGTTCTGTTCAAGAAACTTGGTGAGCCTAATATGCTTAGAGGTCCATTGATCAGCCAGTTTCTGGTCCTTGGCCTCAGCGTCTCTCCTCAAACAGACAAGCTGTTCTCTATACTCTCCTTCAATCTTCTCCATTGCCATCTTCTGCTCTTCTCTCAGAGCCTTCATCTTTGCCTCAATCTCCTCCATCTTCTCCCTTTGTCTATTCGCCTTCTCTGACTCTAACTGCAACTCCAGCCTCCTTAGCCTCCAAGCCGCCTCCTTCTTATGCTCCGCCCAAACTCTATGTCCTTCCTCCAACTCTCTACAACACTCCATAAGCTCTGACATGAACACACTCTCATTACTACAAGACGGTATCATACTCCCTAACACATGAGTCTCTCCTCTCTCAGGCTGCTGCTGCAGCCACGGTATAGGCGGTTGAGGTGAAGCTGCAGCCACAGTGGAAGGTGATAAAGTGAGAGTCACCGAAGGAGGTCTCACAGCAACATTGTTCCCATTGTTAGGAGTAGCTAACCAAGGAGGGATCACATGACTAGAAGGAGGACCATTAGAACTAGCCATAGCAGGGGACGAAACAGAGCAACGCTCTTTCACAAGCTTCTCAGCGAAACTCTCGAGAATCCTATCGTACTTACTCTCGTCAATAGGCTCAACTCTCTTGCTACTCTCTTTCTCTTCTCTCTGTTGCTTCTCCTTGAACACTTCCCACCACTTCCCTAACCGCTTCGCCGTCCTCCCGGGAACCTCAGCGGCGATCTTCTTCCACTTGTTGCCGTGTTTCTCCTGCAAACGGATCACAAGCCTCTGCTCTTCCTCGGTTAAAGACCCTTTCTTGATCCCTGGTTTGAGGTAGTTCTTCCAACGCTCGAGACAAGACTTGGCGTCACGGTTGAGAGGTTTGTTCATACGGTCGGAGACAAGATGCCATTCTTTAGGACCGAACTGTCTAACGTAGGCGCGTAACAATGCGTCTTCTTCACCACTCCAACGTTGCCTCTCCTTCATCTCCTGAAACTCCACACATCACTCCTTGTTCCCATCTCAACACTATCCCTTCTTCATCTGCATTAAAAAAAAAAAAAAGATTAGAACTTTAAGACCAAAAAGCAGAGCAACCCATCAACAATCTTTTTTTAAACTGAGAGATCTAACACTCAGAAAACATCAAAAGAGATGAGAAAGACAAATACTTTAACAAGGTTGAAACCAAAACAGAGGAATCAATGGTTGAAACTAAAACAGAGGAGTTGATTTTCTTTTAAAAGATTAAAACTTTATCCAATTCAAAGTTGAAAAACAGAGCAACCCAAGATATGATACTCAAGAACCATCAAAAGAGATGAGAAATACAAACACTTTTAACAAGGTTTTAAGCAAGGCTTAGAATTGATTTCTTATCATAATTATACAAAAGTAATATTTTTCACCAAAACAGAGGACTTAATGTCGACCTCAGAACACTATTACCATATAAGAGAGTGTGCAAGGAAAAAATGCTTACAAGATTATATTGAAAAGGAGAATCTAAGAGATGATTCTGTCTTGAACTTTTTATCTCGTCGGCGAAGTGGGAAGAGAGAACACGAAGAGAGCAAAGAGAGAGGCTTTTAAAACCAGATAACGTACACACGATTAGACCACAGAGATGGTAATAATAAGAAGAAAAAAAACAGAGTAATAAAGGAGGAAAAAGGTGAAACAAGTGGTGAAAAAACTCTCTGACAGTGGCGCGTGGAGGTTAAAGTTTAATTCCATTATTTTGTTTGCTAATATGATTTTTTTATTTGTTTTACATTGGGATCTCAAATTCGTTACCAATAACATTAAAGTAAACAAAAGTCAATTTTGATGCTTGTAAATTTGATTCATTTTTAATTTCTATGATAATATATTTTCACTAAATGTTTATAAGATAATCATCACAGTTTTAATCAATTTTAATACAACTAATGTATATTAAATACATTAATAAATTTTTTAAAAAAATCTACATTACAGAATTAAAGAAAATATTTCCAACTTGTTAAGCATATCTATAGATTTCACAAACTTTTACAATTTATGATGCTTAAAGTATATTTTTGCAGTAATGTAGTAATCTGCTAAATCTACTTTCGATACTTTATTTAATAGTATATAAAGAGTCATATGTTTTAGAAGCTAATGTATGTTTATGTAGATCTTTCAGATAGAGATTTAATGTTTTTGACAATATTATTCAATATTTAGTGGTGTAAAATGTTTTATTTTGATTAGTTTTGCTATAAAATTAAAACCAATTTCTGTACATTTTAAATTGGTTTTGTGGCTAAAAACAGGATTTGACGTATCTCTATAATCTCTATAATATTATTTGAGAAGTCACTTTCTTGGGTGTCGCGTTCACGTTAACTCTCAAGTTGGTTGATTACTATGATACCCTTAATAAATTAAAAATACAATTAAATATTATTTCCTTTTTAAAAATTTCCAAATAACAATATAAAATAAAAAGGAAACATTTATAAAATTTACAAAACTATTTAAAAACGAAAATATAAGTATATATAATATGGTTTAATAAAAAAAGAAAAGTTCACGAAATAGTAATATTTAATTTAAATATATTTTAAATAACATAAAATATACCTTTGAAGTAGTAAAATACTTTATATCTATATCTTCTTAGATAAAAAAAAAATATATCTGTATATAATGTTATTTTATAAAAATATTTCACACAAAAAATATTGCTATTAGAAAAAGAAATATTTAAAAAAAAAATTTAAACAGTAAAATATATATTTTCAAAATAATTATTTTTTATATATCTATCTATTTTATTAGATGATTACATAAGATAATCAACTAAAATAAACTGATATATGTTTAATTGACATTTTTTATAATTAGTATTATTGAAATTATTTTTAGTATATTTATTTGACTATAATATCTTACAATTACAGTAAAAAATATAAAATCTATTTTACTTATATAGTATAATTTCTCAAAAACAATCACTTTTTACTGGCTATTTTAAGAGATACTAAAAATAAAACTAAAAATAAATTTAATAATAAACATCTTTTGATCAAGTAACTACAATTATTTTAAAATAGCATAACACTATATAATCTAACGAGGTAGATATATTATATTTTAATAGTTAAAATTATCTATTTTAAGAATAAGGATTATGATTTACTTAAGTATTTTGATTATGGTTATATTAAGTTTCACAAACATAAAAACATAAAATAACTACAGTTATTTTAAAATACCATAACACTATATAATTTGATGAGGTAGATATATTATATTTTAATAATTAAAATTATTTGTTTTCTTAATAAATCTTTTGATTTTTAATTTTCGGTTTTTATGTTTGTGAAACTTAATATAACCATGATCAAAATACTTAAGCAAATCAGAATCCTTATTCATAAATTATTTAAAAATAAATTTCAGTTTACCATCTAATCAATCTAAAGCATAAATTTATTTAGAATTTATAAAATATTTTAATTATTGTAAATATTGATATGTGTTCAAAAGCTTCTAAAAATTCATTAGTTACTTATGTATGTAATTTAGAATCAGACACTTTAGTTTTTATTTGTTTTCCTTCTAACCACAAAAAAAAATCTGAAGTTATATATAATCTTACTAAATATACTTATATTTCTAAAATAACAACCAGCATAAATGAAAATAAGAAAATTAATCAAAATTTTAATATATTTAAAATATAAAAGATTATAGTTGAACTCAAAGAAATAGATAAAATCCAATATATCTAAATGATAACTAAATCGACCGTAAAAACAATAAAACAGACTAAATATAACATATCTAAAATTATATATAATTAAAGTAGTAGAATATTATAATATAAGTTAGACATACAAACTATAAATTAATTTAAAAATTAAAGTAAATATCAACCAATTATTATTTTATATTTATTTTATAAATATACATGTCCGTGCATGAGCACGGGAAAATCACCTAGTATTATTTGAGAAATCAGTTTCCTACGTGTCGCGCTCACGTTAATTCTCGCGATGGTTGATTACATAGATACCCTCAATGATTTGTTAGATCTTAAGATTATTATTTTTTATTTAGTTTTTTTTACCTTTTTCCAAATAACATATACAATAAAAAGAAATATTTCTAAAATTTTAAAACAAATTTTTAAAACGAAAATATATGTATATAATATGACTTTATTAAAAAGGAAAGTTCACAAAATAACAATACCCCATTAATATATAATTAAAAATAACATAAAATATATTTTCAAAATAATAAAAATATATATGTTCATGAACATCCAAAAACTTATCAGTTGCACTTTATTTTCTAATATTTTTTTTAGAAATCAACATATAATTTGATAAATATTATGAAAATACTTGTATATTTAAGCGATAAATAAAATTAATTTGATTTGACTTAACTAAAATAAATAGTAAATAAATATTATGAAAATATATGTATATTTAAGCGATAAATAAAACTAATTTGATTTGACTTAACTAAAATAAAAAGTAATTATTCTTCATTTTAATTTAAAAATATATTATATTCAATATACTCACAAAATGAATGACTCGACGAATCTAATTTATATTCAAAATTAATCAACTAACTACAATAAGAACATATAATTTTATAATAATATAATAATAACAATAATCTATTTAGTTTTATACATATAAATTAGAGGTTGACCCAAAGCATATTAAAAATAAAAATAAAATATTAACCAATTACAATTTAATTCTTTTTAGAGTTTATATATATGCATGCGACTTCAAAATATTATCATTATATCCATTTATGTAATTTTGAATTAAACACTTCAGCTTATTATTTATTTCATTTTAAGCACAATATATATATATATATATATATATATATTAAGTTATACATAATTTATTTATAATATATTTACATATCTAAGAATATATTTACATATATAAATACAATAACCATCCGAAATGAAAAGAAGAAAATTAATCAAACTTTATTATATTTAGAATAAAAAATATTATAGCTGAATTCAAAAAAAAAAATATTATCTAATATACCAAATTGATAACCAAACCGCTATTGATAAATAAAAAATTAAACCGACAATAATATATCCAAAGTCATATATATAATTAGAATAATATAATATTTATTAATATAAATTATACATATAATTGGATTAAAAACTAAAACTAAATACCAATCAATTATTTATTTCATTTAAGCACAATATATATTAAGTTATACACAATTTAACTATCATATATTTACATATCTAAGAATATAGTTACATATCTAAAGACAATAACCAACCGAAATGAAAATAAGCAAATTAATCAAAGTTTTATTATATTTAGAATAAAAAACATTATAGCTGAATTCAAAAAATAGATATTATCCAATATACCAAATTGATAACCAAACCAACTATTGATCCGAAAAATAATTACACCGACACTAATATATCCAAAGTCATATATATAATTAGAATAATATAATACTTATTAATATAAATTATACATATTAACTGATTCAAAACTAAAACTAAATATCAATCAATTATTATAAAATTTTACTTTTATGAATATTTATACCCGTGTATGAGCACGGGAAAATCACCTAGTGAGTAGAGTAATTGTGGTTGAGATGGACACGTATCAGAAAATGAAGATGGTATCTTTTCCAAAAGCATGTAAAAACAGTAATGGTCCCTATAAACCCTACAAAGAAATCCTTTGCTTTGTTCCATCACATCCGATTACCACTACTCAACACTACTTCTGTTTGCTACCATGCACACCTAACTCTCCGGCGTATTTTAGAAACTCCTAGTGCTATAATCAGGCAGACAAAACTTTCACTCTTTTATGATTGACTCAGTCACTCACTACCACCCCCAATTATCTTAGCTTATACAAATTAGGCAACCACATACATATTAATGCATGACGTCACTAGATTATAAATTTGGTAGACATGATTATAAATTGAATCGAGCAAGTTTATGGTTGGTTGATTTTACCAAAACAAGAACAATATGTTCGGTAGGAACTAGTGGTAGGCCTTCAATGGGTTTACACATGCTTCTGGTGGCGTATATTGAGATATGATTAATTACATATATTGGTCGAGAGCTAATAATCTTTGTGACTCTCATATCACGGTCGAGATTAAGACCACGACTTCATGATAGAGAGAAGGTTTGAGCTTGAAAAAGATGGAGTTCGTTAGATAAATAACTTTCTCACTTATTCAATTAACGATTGCAAATGTACATTATATATAATTGTACTAACTAAAATAGACTGAACCACCTAATGTGAACCGGTATGGTATTCAATATGCACACATCAGTTCGAATCTTCTTTGATGAAAACTGGTTGCGCTTTGAAATCGTTTGATAGCTTTTGTCTTTTGTAAATATAACTTTGAATCCTGTTCAAAAAAATATAACTTTGAATCGTGAAGCGTATTTCCATCACAATTTAAATAATTAATATAGTATACAAGATTGAACACAAATCATAAGTGTACGATTCCAAATAATGACATGGTAAATACCCTTTTGACAAAATAATATCATACACGGCACGAACTCTTTTGGT